ATATATATAAATATATAAATATATGCATATATATCTATTTATGTTCTGATTTGAAACGAAAGATGTTTGGCATGTTTAATTAAGATATGGTTATTTTTGAAAATGCTCAAAACACTTATTTTGAATATTTTCATGAACATTAACTTATTTTTAGAAATAAAAAATAAAAATATGTAAAAATACATAAAATAAGTATTTTTTTTTAAATTAAAAGAAAAAAATTAAAAAATATAAAAAAAATTGATCCCTAATAAGCCTAATTATATGCTTTTTGGCTACAATGTGAACTTGTCAACCCACACATGAAATCCCATTAAGGCATTTACTTCTTCTTCTCTGTAAACTTACAGGAAAAGCATTTGGTATTTAAATTTGAGTATATAATATATCTCCAAAATGATTGGATAATAATATATGGCATGCATGTGGAGTTTTTTTTTTCTTATTTTTGAATGGGTAGCAGAGGACTTTAATAAATGATTGATTAGAGGACTTGACAATATGATAAATCACATACAAGTAGCTCCTTAAGAGTATGAGAGAATTTGGTAAATTTCATCTATTGTGGAAGCATTGGTTCGATATGAGAACTCAATTCAATGTCGCATTAACAGAGAATGTCTACATGGGCTGCTTAATATAGAAATATAGTTGAACAGAATACCACATGAACAGTAAATACGACATATACAAAATCTGTTATATGGATAATAGCCCCCGTCATAATGAGAGTCCGTTGTTTGGATTGTTAATTTGCTTGGGAGCTGGCATAATCTGAGATAAGATAGACATTTTGTTAGAATATCTGCTATTTGATATGTTGCAGCAATATGGTTTATTGTAATTGTGTGATTGAAGATGTGATCTTTGTTGAAATGGAAATCGATTTTGATATGCTTTGCTCTAGCGTGAAATATGGGATTTGAAGCTACGACTAGAGCTGACGTGCTGTCATAATAAATATGGGGTTGTCATGAGAGTTGAACCCCGAATTCATGAAGCAACCGTCGAAGCTAGATAGTATATGTAACTGCAGTGGCGAGAGTTCTGTATTCAGCTTTGGTAGACGATCTAGCGATTGTATGTTGCTTTGGTACATGCAATGAAATAACAATGTTTTCTAAAAAAGTACAAAAGAGTGATTGGTAACCCATGGGTTGATGCACCGTATCTCCTGCCCAAATCGAATCAGAATAAGTATGTAAGTGTAGAAGTCCTTTAGTGATTGGTAACCCACGGGTTGATGCTCCTTTGAGATAGCACAGAATGCGCTTGAGTAGTTGAAAGTGGTTTTGAGTATGGCCATGCATATATTGACAGACAAGATTGACGACAAAAGCGATATCGGGGCATGTTATTGTGAAATATTGTAATGCTCCGGCAAGTTGCCTGTATAATGTTGGATTTGGAAAATGTTTGGTTGATTGATCTTGAGGCTGAATTTCAGTGGAGATGGGAGTTTGGATGGGGTTACGATTTTCCATTCCAGCTTTGTGTAAGATTTTCAGAAGATGCTGTTCCTGATTTAGTAAAAGACCAACTTTGGTGTGATGAACTTGTTTTCCATAAGAAGTTGATATGTTGCTCAACTGAGAAAAAATTTGTTGTGGAGACCGGTAATTAAATATTTGATAAATGAGTCATCATTGCCTCTTTCTTTTGCCCTCTTGTGAGTGTATGAAGAGTTATGGATTGACTGTTTGTTTTAGGTGATCGAAAAAGGTAGAAAACCATAGTCGAGGTGTTTGCTTTAGTCCATATATTGATTTGTGCAGCAAACATACATAATGTGGATGTTGAGTAACTTGAAAACCGAGAGGTTATTTCATACAAATTATAACGAATACATAATGTGGATGTTGAGTGTCTTGAAAACCAGGGGCTTATTTCATACAAACTATAACATCTAATGTTTCATATAGGAAAGCATTAGAAATGTCAAATTGAGAGATACTCCATTGGTGTTGATGTGCAATAGTTGGAAAAAACAGAATAGCTGGGATTTTGTTCATGTGGCTAAACGTTTCTTTTTAGTCTATGCCATGTGTTTGATTATAACCTTTGCTACGAGTCGAGCTTTGTAGTGTGCCACTCATCCATCTGGTTTTAGCTTAATGACATGGATCCATTTACAAACCAAGACTATTTGTGTTGGTGATGGAGGAATGAGCTCCCATGTTCC